CAAAAATTCGTTATAACCAGCATTTTATTATAGCTTCGTTATAAACAGGTTCGTTATATCCAGGTTTGACTGTATACTGTATAATTTAAATGAATTCTATATACTGTAATGCCAACATCCTGATCTCGAAAAAACGAAGCATTTTTCCGCATGGGTATTTCAATTTTAGAGTTGGTATTTATATGAAAATTGGGTATAAGAAGGCATTGCTGTAATACAGTACTGTAGCTAAAACGGAAAATTTGAATTTACTGTCAGATTATCAATTTACGTAACTGATTATAGAATGATCCGTTTATCGAGAGTCGACCTATAATTGGATCTATGGAGGGGTTGTGAAATAATTAGAAATTGGGATACTATATATGGGATTTTAGGATATTATTAAAAACATGTAAAGAGATTGAAATAATCAAACCAACTAAAACAATAAACTATCTTACATACACTCACCTCGCGCCAGATCTAAATGCCTCTTTTGACGTCACACGATCGGCGATCGCGACAACCCGCCAGCAATGATAACATTTACCAAATCAAAATTTGAATCTTAAAACAACAAATTTATTATTAAGAAAATAAAAAGATTGAAAGATCATTTATATTATTATTTCTTTTAACAATATATTTAATAACAGATTATTATATTAGTTCATAAAGTATATCGACTTTCCGTGTAATAAAGCATTCTTAAAGAACAGGCATGAAAATATATTTTTTTAATTTTATAGAAAGAGTCAAATTAATTATACTGTAATTTCAACTCAACATACCAAATTATTTATTATACTCATGATACCATGATAAGCAGTATAAGGTACGAATATTGTAATGGTGAAATTCGGCGAGTCTGCCGCTATATGTGGATCGCGTCGAAAGAGACGTTAGATCTTAACAAGAGATAAGTGAATGTGTTAGGGAATGAAGTGAGCCTATTGGATAATGCAGAGCTTTATTTGATTTTTTCGTTATTCTCTCTTTTATGTATTCATCAAAAATCCCAAAAATCCCCAACAGCCACAATGACATAATGGGCGGTGGCATTACGCGAGCCACGTGTTTTGATTTTCTACCCCTTTACACCATGAATTGTCTCGACAATACAGATATGAAATTTTTTATTAAGGATGAAATGTTTACAAATTGTTTAAAAATGCAGATTCTATAAAGAATTTAATGACGTTAATTTCTACTTATATCAATTGCGACATCATTTCTGCTTTCCGTATTTACATTGTTGGAACCTTCTATTTCCTTTTTCAGATAATCTTTTTGCAACTTCCAAGCTACATAATTTTCCTTCCAATGCTCCCATTCATTTTTAATAAATAGCGGTGAATCTACACTCACTATATAAACCAGTATTCCTATTGGAATAAAAAAAAAATAAAATAGAATGCTAGACATGAAAATTCCTACGTTTACCCAAGATGCAATGGCTACTTTAATGTGATATTGACATGTTAAGTTAAGCGAATTGTCAATCCCAGGTATCGCATAAAATTTTGGGTCGTACTCTAAAAACAACAAATCATCAAAACCTAATTCCAAATGAATTGATTGAGATTAAAAAACAATTCTTACTCCGAGGGCATGTCATTGGTTGGCCACGGATAAAGTCGAGGGATGCGGTGCATGCATATATTATCGATAGGGTTAATCCTATGCTTTAAGAAGGTCATTAAAAATTTCGAAAAACCCCCGTTCCCCTAAAATTTAATGCGAAAGACTTACAAGACTGTGGTGGGGAAAATGCCAAATGCCATATTGATAACTAAAAATTATTAAGGAAAAAATGAAAGGAGGTTGAATAATTTAATAAATTTCATTAGACATTAAAAGAAGCGTCGACCTCGATTAGGAAAATACATACAACTAAGCAAGAGCATGTGCCAAAACAAGGCATAGCCTTTTACTCCAAATTTGCTAGAAAAGGGTGAATCGATCGATGATTAGCAAATAAGAAAAATATGCTGTACTGTACTTAGGCGATGAATACATTTAATTATACCTATAATCGGTTGTAAATTCTGGTGTTTCATCGGATATATTATAATATTTTCCTCTCATATGACCAGCATCGTTGTAATTTTTCATTTCTCTATATTCTGCACTCATTCAGAAAATTTATGGTTATAAAATGCGACGATACGAAATACAATAACAATAATGCAATAATGCTGTGATGTACAATACCGAAATGTATGCAAGCAATACACGAACCAACTCCCACGGTACACATTAAAAAAATCATGAATCTTCTTACGCAAATACATATTCGTTTATATTGATCGAAGAAGGGGCGACTTTTACGCACAACTGGTCTCCTCCTTACTAATGGTTTAAATAAAAATTTCATTTTAAAGGATCCAGAGTCGTTCCTTAAAATCAGTGTCCCAGTATTTATGAGAAAACGTTAAAACTGTTATTTCATTGAACATTTACTGTATATAAATTAATTTTACTCAGACGGAAAACCCCGCAGACAATGAGAAAAAATTTTTTGTCTATTTATTTTATTTTTTTTCGAATTCTAAAAGGTTCAATGCTGTAATTACTAATCACCTATTTGTTTTGCTGTATAACCAAAGAATTTCTTTAAAAGGATTATTGTAACGCTGAAAGTTTTGCTTCGGAGTTAAAAGGACCGATTTTGATAAGGTCTTTCGACCGAAACTCCGAGGAAGTGATTATCTTTACCTTTTTTGAACAAAATCACGTAATTATTTTAATATAAAGTTCTTTGCAGATATTCTGCCCCTAACACACTTTCTTGTTTTTTCTAGCAACAAGAGGAAGAAAGATCATAGATGTTTTTTTAGTATAAGTGTGAATGTCTATCCTAATAAAAGCAAAGTTCATATATATGAATATAAGAATTCTCAAAGTCGACGTTATGAATTGTACATTACTCAAATTAATAAATAAATCGAACCCTCCCATCAAATGAATACCTTATTTCTAGAAAAATGTAAAGGTTTATCGTTTTATTTGATAGAATTATTTGTCATCAAATGATCTAGAATTTGTGATTAGAAGTTTCCTAAGTGTACGTGAATGCATGTCTAGTTTCTAAGATTTACTGTATACTGTATCAGCAACCTCGATTACTATTTTCATCTTTTCATTGCTAGCAATTCTTTATTTCTTGATCGCTTTCAATCTGCAAATTATACTATAGCAGTTTCTTCATTAAAAAACTCAGACGATCAATTAGTTAAATTGTATTTGACGACCGTCATATCGTTTTATGTATTTTTTAAAACAACAAGCGCGACGACAACAGACGAGAAGCCCAATCACATTAAAACTATTTTATGCGCGCAAAAAAAAAAAATCATTAATTTTTTTTTTTTATTTTACAATTTTTTATGCAATAAATTTAATTAATTTTTTTGGCTTATTTATTTATTAATCAAATGATTTTTTTAAATCAATAATTAAAAGGTTAACAATATTTCGTAAATTTAATAATAACAAGCATTTGCAAAACTCAAATATGCAGTATATATAAAGTACATAGGATACATACATAATTTTTTGTTTTATGTTTATTTGCAATAAGTTTTATTTTGATAATTAAAAATTATGTGAATTCTTTGAAATATTAAAAAAAAATTTTTAATTCACATTTGATTTGATGTTATTTTTTTTTAAAAAATATATATATATATATTGATGATGTTATTTATATTTAAAATAATTAATGTGCAATATCATTAAAATTATCAAATAATTTTTTATAATTAATAATACTGTTATTATTATTTAAAATAATCTATAATATATGATTATATTATATACAGTCTGTTATAAAAGTCTTTGGATTTTTTTTGAATTTTATTTTAACTTATAATTTTATAAATAATTGATAAAACAAAACAAAACAATATTATTATATTTTTTATTATATAATAAAATTATTATTAAATTTAAATTTAAAAACAAGAAGCCAATTAAAAATAATAGATTATTTTTATTAACAATAAAAAAATAATTATAAATTATTAGATTATTTTAATAAATAAATTCATTAAATAAAAACTAATAAAATAATATATATATATATACAGTGTGAGTCATAAATTTTTGGAAT